GTTTTTCCCATTTAGTGACAAGCTGGCATATTTCCAGCTGCACTTCAAAAACGAATCCAATTTTAATGCCTATTTAAGAAATAATTGAACAAATATAAGAGATGCTTCTTATCGTTTTATACTCTTATAGTGTTCTGCAGAAAAAAATTAACTCTCAGTAGTTATAATACGTTTCTCCACCAAAACCAGCAAAATACATGATGAAAATTAAACACGTAATTTTATCAAATAAATACGAACACTCGTACACCCTTCTCTAGCATTATGGACGTGCCTTAACCTTCAGACTTCGTTGGTACATCAACCAGTGACGACCTGAGGAAGCACTTCAGTGTCACCTACGAAACCTGCGCATGATCAAGATGGCGGCTCTCTCGAACCGCACTCTGCTAATCGCTTCCGCATGTCCCTCTCACCCCTCTCCACTCGAGTCCCTCTTACTGTCCCTCTCACCCACTCTCAAACTCAAACGCCAATCGACAATGCAAGCGCAGCCTGTTATTACAGATCGGTCACTTCGAAACGTGCACTCTTTATCTGCAATGTTTCCTAACCATTGCTGACGTTGGGTCAAACACACCTCTTGTATCCCATGACGCACGGGAGAACAGAGGTGGACTGCATAGCTCCGTGTATTTTTTGGCTCGGCAAAGAAAACATTTCCGCCTCGGCTGAAAGGGTTGTGGGTTCGGCTTCCACCTTGGGATTGCGTGTGTGGGTGAGTATGTACTCATGTGAGTTCCTTGAAACAAATGGAACCCGTTGCATTAACAAATAGATATTCAACTCCTTCCGTTTTCACGGGTGCCAGTTGCTGGGGAAAATATAACATTATGTACGTGAGATGAGAAAAATACATTGTTTTGTGTATTGATGAAGGATTACTTTTGCAAATATACACACTAACGAAAGCATGACAATAATATTTCCATCGCTATGTACTGAGACATATGTACTAATGAAGCGTACCAATGCATGAAAGTGTCACATTTTTATCGCAATAAGATTCTTTATTCTACTTGTTCTTGGGGGTACCATGTGACCTTATTTCCTTTCTCGTAACATGTAAATCGACTAAAGGATTGTGAGCATTGGGTTGATCAACGTGATCCTCTCTATTCTGTGTGAATGTATACAGTGGTCCGCACAATCAGCATTTTATCGACAACTACTGTGAACATGGAACATGCAATACAAGGTGTGGCTCTCGCATTCTTAAATTTACCACGGAGCATTGCGGGTTAGGGTACCACTCCTGTGATTCCAGTCTTTTGTCGTAACAGCTGGCTGGCGAGATAGCGCGTGGGCTGTAATGTTCCCATATGCTTATAAAGTCTGCGAGGAGCCTCGAACAGGTTTCTGAGTTAGGTCTGCACCACTTGGGCACCCATATTCCGCCCAAGCAACCAACTCCTACGATTGAGGTTCTGTAGAGCACAGAAGCCGACAACGCAAAAGGATATGATTGCTTTACGACCGGGGGCACGTTTGTACAAAATCAATACGGAGAAAATTGGAACACGATGATTGTATTGATAGTTGACCAAATGTAACAAGTTAGTGTGTTTACAGCCAATTTACGATGTTTTCCGTCATACAAAGCGCAGTGACTTTAATAGCTGCAAGGATAATTTATTGATCAGTTTTAAGAATTTGGAAAGTATCTAAATCATAATGCGATTTTAATTTAGATATGTGTTTAAAATTGAAATTAAATATTTCATAATATACTTCGAAGAATTTTTAAATTTATAGAAAAATAGATGTGCTAAAACATTCTCATTCTGTATGCCTAGCCTTCTAATGGTTCACGACTTGAGTTCTCAGTTTAGGGTGTTCATCCTAGTTTTTACGGGCTGTCTAAATTTAATAGAAGCGAAATTGGGTCATGAAAGCAACTAAAAGACGATAGAAAATGAGATGTGCTAAAATGTCACGCTAAAAGTCATCACTTGACCATTTGTTACCCTGGGAGTGAAAGGTGCAAGCTCTATCACGCATTCGCTCTCACACACAAACATTATTGATCAAATTACATAGATCTATAAGAATGAAGCGGCAAAGATGTCCATAAGATTTAATAATAATATAAAAAAAATAGTAATATTGAATTTCATTTATTGACTTTAATTTTTTGTTTTTTATTTTCAAATGTACTCACTCACTTAACATAAATTTTATGTACTGTGTTACATAAAAGTCAATAGTAGCTGTTGCGGTCAGACGAAAGTATTCTGGTTTCGTTGTTGCAACCACAGATGTATCTGAACATTTGAGCATCGAGCCACTATTAGCCCTAGTCTTAAAATTTGAACTTTTAGCTCGCCAGAGATGCCCTAAAATTAACCGATTTTACTAGTGGCTGACTAAAAAAGTTCATTCTGGAGGCAAAACATTACGTATTTTTTGGTTACGCTGTACTCTATGTATATTCTGATCTTAGCAATTTCTCTTCCCTAAAATATTTAAAGCCACTGGTGTCTAGTGGAATACTGAACAATTAGTTGTAAATCGAATGTTATACTGTAATGAACATTGTCAGATCGATATATGAAAAGATGCCAAACATTTTCAGCTAATTCCAAACTGCGCAGCGAAGTACATGTTGCGTCTCTTCGTTGGTGGGCTTACAGGAAACGCATAATAACAAGTGTAACCGAGTCGAGTGCAGCAGAACTTGATAATGCACTGCAGGGAACGAAAAACTGTGTTCATTGGCGGCGTCGTTCATGGAATCGCTTACACGTCTCGTGTTCATCTGTCACTTGAGAGCGTAGTGCTCCGCGTTGGGGACCAGATCGATTTTCACCTTTCATCTGAGTTCCAAGCGCGGGAATCGCTGATACGGTGTTTTCGTCCCGGTGGAGCGTTGGCTCGGATGTCGCGCTGGGAGATAAGTCTATTTTATCGTTCTCGTTTGCTCAGAGAAGAGGAGGAAACATCTGTTAAAAGTATATAATTGGTGTCATACTGCTTGTGTTTGGGAGGTGAGCAATACACGTATCAAACTCACGCGTAAAATTACACGGTTCATAGCACAACAATTATAGAGTAAGCGTTTGGCCCTTATATTTAATTGGATGGGAAGAAACATCGAACTTTGCATAGAAACACTAATTTGAGACTCTATTCGCAACATTTTTCCTATTTAACATGATTTTTTTAACTTCCTGCAATTTTATTTATTTCCCTTTTTTATCAAACAAAAACTTTAAAAAGAATATTAACGTTGAATAGAAAATAATAACTCAAAATCGTTCACAATTCTTATGTAATAAACTTCGACGTATGCATTGGAGGTCATAAATATGCTGCTAACATTCCTTCTAATAGGGACATCAGGAAGATCAGAAACTGCAACATACTGGTGCATTAATACTCCGTATTATTCATTTTGCTCGACTCGACGATAAAATCGAACCTATTCATGCGTTGAATGTTTTATTTTATTTTCCATATTCTTGTTTAGAAATGTCAAGTACTACACGACGTAGGGTAGTCAAAATTTTATTTTACCTATTTGTATCAGTACGGTGCCGTTATTTAAATAATGTAAATTCGAGTTGTGTGGCGAGTTAGTAAAGCAACAGAGAAACTTGTCACTTCGAGCAACGAATACGCCACTGTGTTCGCATATCGGGCACAGTTTGTTTGCAAATGTTTCAGCTTGAAGCACTTCCGCAGAGCTGTATCAAATGTTTCAATAAACAAGCATTGTCCTATCGATTAAAATAAACAAGTTCTGATGAAGTGGAATTTCTCCATAATATATAGTGCTTTGTGCTAGAGATTTTTAACGTACTTCTAATCCAACATATAAAACTACCAATTAGTGGAATATGAGTGCACATTGATATTAGTGCAATACTAATTAAACAAAACCATCATAACTGTTCTTGTAAGGAAATTACTATTGTAAAACACTATTTTGAGAAAAGTATGCATTTAACAATTTTTGCAATTTAACACACACACACACACACACACACACACACACACACACATATATATATATATATATATATATATATATATATATATATATATATATATATAAAATTCGACAAATAGGTAATTGATAAAAAGGACGAATTCGTATAGAAAAATAAAGTGAACAGATATATGTTCTCTGATATACTCGTATTTCCTAGAATAGAATATAGAAACATTTCTTAGGGAATTAATAACGAAAAATAAAGTAATGACGTTACTAAAACTTGGTATGAAGCCGAAATGTCACTAGTAAGGGAATGTTCCATTAACCCCTGGCACAGCGATCCCTGCAATCCCCGAACCATACATAGTGGTAAGAAAATAGTCATTATTTATACGCAAATGTTACTGCAAACTTGTATGAAAGACTTTTCAGATCTCATAAACACTGACAAGTGAAAGTACATCTGAATGCATAATGGCTGTTTAACAAGTGTTGAATCATGTTTATGGTTGACATTTCTCTCATCAATACACTCATACCATAGCAAATCAGGCAATGATACAAACCACTTCCGACAACAGTACGTATGAATGAAACATCAACTTGCTGTACATCATTCTGCATTTCCGGAATCATCGGACACTCACACACCTTCACGAAATTCTATTATATATTAATGATCGTCCGACACTATTCAGTACAAAACAATCACACATGCCATCGTCAGGACAGTTTTGTAGGACGAAACATTGCCACTTTACGAAATTTCAAAAAAAGAACAGTGCTAACAAGAAAAAACAACAGAAAAATACGTTCAACATGGATTTTTTTTGTATGAAATACGACTGACAGCGTATGGCACCTAATGAACGGCGAATCTAATAGATCAGACTGAATGCGCGTCAGAACCTACGACAACACGCTGACCATTAACGAGAAATAAAAAATAATCTATGAGATGAGAACGTAATTAGAAAGACGAGGTACGACAGCCTTATGACAACAAATAGGAAAAAAATAAATAAAATGACCAGAAAAGAAGGTAAGTCGGGGAGAGACGTACCTTGCGGGCGCAGATGCCGCCGCTGCCATGTCGTGCGGTGCCTTGCGGAGCGGAGCGGGGTGATGCGGAGCGGTGCGGAGCGGAGCGGCGAGTGGCGGGGAGCTGGCGACTGCGAGGAGCGCGCGCGCGAATGGTCCGCGGAGCGCGGGCCGCGCGCTCTTATAGCGACGGCGGCGGTGGAGGCGGTGGCAGCGGCGCAGCACTGGCGCCAGCACGCCCGCGCCGCACGCCGCCACTCGGATCAGGGGGCGGGCGGCGCGGAGAAGTAGCGCTGTGGGACGGGGTAGTGTACGAGGCGGCGGAGCAAGAAAGCGGAGCGGCACGGAGTGGACGAGCCGGGACGAACGGATCGAAGCCGGGTCGGAGCGAACTGAGGAGACGAGCAGGACGGAGCGAGACAGCAGGACGGAGCGAGTGACGAGCCGGACGGAGCGCGACGAAAGCAGAGACGGGAGCGTCGAGCGAGATTGGAGCGGGACGGACGGGACGGAGCGGACGGAGCGGGACGGAGCGGACGGAGCGGGACGGAGCGGGACGGAGCGGGGACGGAGCGTGACGGAGCGTGGACGGAGCGGGACGGGCGGGACGAGCGGGACGAGCGCGATCGGAGCGGGACGGAGCGGGACGGAGCGGGACTGGAAGCGGACGGAGCGGGATCGAGCGGACGGACTGGACGAGCGGACGGAGCGGACGGAGCGGACGGAGGGCGACGGAGCGGGACGAGCCGGAGACGGGAGCGGGACGGAGCGGGACGGAGCGGGACTGAGCGGGAACGGCAGCCGGGTCGAAGCGACAAAGCGGGTGGGACGGTGCGACGGAGCGGGCGGGGTGGTCCGGAGGTGCAGTGGGCCGGGAGGTGTGACGAAGTGGGGGGCGGAACGGGGTTGAGACGAAGCGGAACAAAAGCGGACCAAACGGGGACGAACGGGCAGCCACCCCAGACGAGACTAGCTTGAAGTTCCCGACTGGTCTCCGGAATCTGAATTGTAGTGTAGTGCATTGTTAGTTACGATATGGCGTAAGGTGAGGATAAGACAAACGAAAAGGAAGAAAAGATTTCGCGTTGTCCGTGGCTCTGTTTTTGTAGGTACAGCTCCGGCATTCACCTGTTATGATCGGAGATACCACGAAAAAACTACCGATCAGAAGCAACCGGCTCTAGAATGCTCCTCCACGGCAAGCGGCTGAATTCGACCGACTTAGTGTCGAAAAATTCGCCACCGTGGCATTGGAAGCTCCCGAAGAGAGGTCGAGCCGGGCGATGGGCGGGGGAGTGGGTGGGGTTGAGTGTGACGGTGAGGAGCGCGAAGGGCAAGCGAGCGAGCTGGCGGAAATGGGCAGCCTGAGGGTAGCTTGCGAAAGCGAATTCCGATCCGAAGGGCTAGGATCAAGCGGCTGCTTGATCTGAAGGATACTTTTCCCTGGATTCTTCTACTAACATCAGATGAATGCAGGATCAATGGCATCGAAAGGGGCTACGAACAGCGCGCGATATTTCCTTACCCTATCCTCATTTTTTAATTACGCACGCTTACACTTTTATATGCACTACACTACCAAACATGTCAGGAGAACAGTTGTAAACTTGGAGCTTGTCCCGGCTGGGGCCGGGACCCGTTGGCGGTCACACCTGGAGGGGACGAGCCCCGCAAGCCGACCTGGAGCTCGGCGCCGGATCTCACGTCTTAGGGAGTGAGGAACGTCGTCACCTTCCAGTGTAACATTCACACTTAAGGGAGTTATGAATTTCACAGCTAACGCGTTCGGAAGCAACAAAATAATTAAACAATGGAATTTTGCAATATTTGCGGTAGCAGGTGTTTTATAGAAAATTGAGCTTTCAGAATATTTAGGAGTGCTCTGTCGTTTAGTGAGCACAAAAATTGAAGAAAAGAAAACATTTGGCCACATTCAAACAAAAAAAAGTGAAATGTGTGGACTCCATTCCAATTACCCCCTAATTAAAAAAATTAAGATTCGTTTCAAAATATGCTGTTCCTTCAGTCGAAGGATCCAGGAATATCTCTTTTGGGGAATATTCTGTATACAGTTTAGACGAAAGTGTTGTTCACTGTCACACAGTGAGAAATACTGAGAGAAACGGATATACGTTTGTTGAATACAACTTTTTCATAGTCGGAGCCCCCTGAAAGATATACTTCCGTCCAAATCTGAACGTCAATATTTGCAACATTACTTATCTATTTCTGTACTATTGGTGAAACATATGGCACATACGTTCTCGTACTAGTTAGTTTCCTGTTCTCTAGGCTTGATTTTCCCTTTTGCCACACCCTCTTCCCAGCAGCTGCCATACGCATGTTCACATTTTCTCAATTTTCTGGTCCAATAATAGTAGACCTAAAATATTAATTTAAGAATAACAGAGAAGAGTAAAAACTAGTCCTAATTCCCAATATTCTTTGAAAAATTTGGACTGGTTTTCGAGAAAATGTCGTCTGAGCGTTTCTGATATGAACAAAGTGATCTAACATTTACCGATTTGTTATTGCCGATTGTACCAGATACTCAAAACGTATATAATTTGAGGTATTTGTATTTACGAAGAAGAAGTCATGGTATGTAGTGGGTGGACGGACGTCGGGCCGACGGATGGGTCGACGGGAGTTTACGTTTTATGATTTTCTGCAGCTGTTGTGATGACTGGTCTTTCCATGCTTTTGTATTTTCCAACTTCCTCAGACGATTGTAGATATTTATATTCCAAATAGTGTTATTCAGACATGACGAGATTTTTTTTGTCGCCTGTTTGGCTTCATGATTTGCTTGATCATTTACCATTCCAAAATTGGTTAATTCTGTCCCGATGGGTCTTAAAATCAAACATTATCCCATAACTTTTAATTTCATTTTCAGTTTTCCCCCATTGCGGAAAATGATGACTCTTGGAGATTAAGGATTGCAACATTTTCATGGGAGATAGAATGGCCTTATTATGTAAGTAAATCATACGAAATGTGTGGAAATCACAATAATGTTCTTACGTAGCTTAAATCATTGAACATTAATTCAAGTTTTATTTCTGAGGCAACGTCTTCTAGAGCGAGGTCTTCTTGAAAGAAAAATATCGATGTTCAGTAAGCGAAGATGAAAAGGCATATTAAAAATTAGTGCTGTGTAAAAATATAAACATGGTTTTCAGAATAGTATAGTAGAAAGAGTTACGTTCTTTACAGTGATCATATTCAGTTATTAATTTACGTTTCTCCAAAATACTACATCTCATTGCTAATTTAGAAATATTCCAACATTTCAACATTTAGAAATATTCCAATTAATGGAAGTCATGAGTGATGCAGATGAAGCGGAATGGTTTTGCTCAGTATTTTAATCCAACATTTCAATCATTTTCATTCAGTATTTTGATATCAGGAAACATTAATCCGTGAAAACGTTTCTGAGGTGAATTTTCTTTTTCTCTTTTTATTCTTACTTTAATTTTCTTATTCTCCAATATCTTTTCTCTAATATCAAAAAAGATGACGTGTGGACTATTTCTTCACTGTTTTTGGTGTCGGCCTGTGAAGATCTATATGGTCGTCAATTCTTGCCAGACTCTATACAAGTCAAACAAGCAATCACTGCCTATAATTGATCGTTTTATCAATTATGTTGCACAAGATTAAGAAGTCAAATAAATCTTAATTTGTCGTCGACGTGTATAATGTATACTAATGAAGATGATGGATTTTGTTTTTCAGCTCCATAATCTCCTTAGTATACGAATATAAACTACGATAGATCAGTTTTTCATCATCTGGAGTACAACTATTTTGAAGTATTCACAAAAATGTAATCAGTATTCAATCTAATGTTGAATATTCTTTCTGTTGATACATTTTCGTACGCGGAATTCGTATTCATGCTAAGAGCTAAGCTTTATTATTATTGTACTTATAAAATATGTTTCAGCTTCTCTTTTGACACAGTGCGTGTTACAGAAAATAGTGGAATATTACATTTTATTATTTTAATTATGATGTTCAAAATAATAAAAATATTAGAGTTTATTTCCAGTTTGAATTGAGACTTATGTGTCCCAAAATATTTATAGATAACGGGATAAATCTGATATCGAATTAACAACACACAGAAGCTATAGAGTCCACGTCAAGAACCCTAATTTTGCTATGAGCTGCTGCCGAATGAGCGTTTTCTTTGCGAGGACGATTGCGTGCGAACTCCTCCGACGTTTCGCGAGCTCCCACGTCTGCAGAACGAGCGCGTTGGTGCGACTGCACGGATTGGGCGGAGGCGGGCAAGGCCGCGCCGTCTATGTATTTCCGCATTTTTTCACAATATTCAGACTGAGGTTCCAGTCCTGATGGTGGAAGATTTTGCAACACTAGCTACGTAGCTAGGTCGAATCTGGAGGAAAATGCTGCCGTCTGTTTTGATTAGTAGTTTTACGGGGTTTCTCCGAATAATTTCTACCGGAGGAGGACGCTCAGGGCATCAATTGATTTCACTCCAGTGCCTCTGACCAGGAGGTCATAGGTTCGAGTTCCGACAATGGCAGGATTTTCGACACTGGCAAGATAGTTCGGATTCAGTCGTCTTCATACGTCTGTATATTGTTACATACATACGTCTATATACTTCTGTGTACATCTGTATATAGTTACATACATAGTTGGCAGTTGATCTTCTCCTGCTGGATGCTGACATTTGGCACATACCTACTGGCTAGCGCGGTTCCCCCAATCAGGTACCTCCCACCAGCTGGGCATCGACCCAGCCAAGATAGCTCTAAGACCCCGACCGGCCTCCCGGTATGTGTGGTAGTGTAGTGCATGTTAGTGTGTGTGTGTAAAGGGTGAGGATAGGACAAGGAAAAGAAAGGACTGATCAAGGACGGTCCGTGGCCCGTTTGTTAGGGTAGTGCTCCGGCATTCCTACGGTAACCAACTCGTTACATGCAAAGCGGACGTGCTGGGGTGAGTAAGAGATCGAGATATGTCAGAGATGTTTTTTCTGTGAGGATCAAGTGAAGCCCCGCCTGCATGGCTGGCTGGCTGGCTGGCGAGCCCTGAGGCCTTGCACGACTGTAGGCATGGCGCTGGCTGGAGTGCTTGGCTTATGGCGTCCTATTTTCTCTCGAGGCCTCTATGGTCCCTTCTTGAGACGGGAGTGCGTACTTCCTCCGACTTCCTTCCGATATTCGTGAGAGCTAACTGAATAACTTGACACGATGTGTCAGCCTTAAGAACGTTTGCCAAATACTGCATGATTTTCAAGAACTAATTCGAATAGAAGTAATTAGAGCATAGCCTTTTTTTAAGGTCGTATTGACATGTAGGTCATTGGCGACCACTATTGGTTTTAACGATAATGGTAACAGTGAAGTAGATAAAATTATATGATGCTGATGGAGGTTGAAAGGACGAACTCAAATACAACTATGCCTGACGCGGGACTCGAACCCTTCGGCCTGAGATCGCTGCGACACTACTGCCTTAGCTATCTCGGCCACCGGCGGAGCATAGACTTGTATATTGTACGCTATTCAAATTTGGTATGATTTCATTTTTATTATCATAATTATATTTGTTTTAATATTGTTAATAGCATTGCAATCGACAGCTTTCAAGGTACCGGAAGGGACGGAGCGCGTTGAGGTTTTCACAGAATTGTTTTATTGGATCCATTTATAAGTGAAGCAGAGCACGTCATTACAGCTAAAGAATAGTGCAGAAATGAGTGGTTAATAAAGACACTTTCAACCTAAACAAAACTGTTTTGAAGAACAAGAGGCTGATATTGCTGATGCAAGGAAGAAGGGCCTCATTGGTCTCTCAATGGGGATGCTTGTTTTATTTTCTCGCTTTACTATGTACGTAGTAAAGAGAAAGTATTGTAATCATGCGGCTGAAATCGGCGAATTTGCGACTGGATAACTCTTATCGGTATCGGTAACGAAAACATCAATAAATCTTGTTCCTAAATGAAATAAATTACTTCCTAAATTTTGTTACTTCCTTACACCAAAAACTCGATTCACGGCAAAAAGTTTGCCTGTCCGTGCGGCGGAATGACCGACCGACGGACCGACCGACGGACCGACCGACGGACCGACCGACGGACCGACCGACGGACCGACCGACCGATCTACGAACCGACTGACCGACCGTCCGTCCGTCCCTCCATCCGTCCGTCTGTCCGTCCGTCCGTCCATATGTCCGTCCTTTTAGAAACTCTTTGTGAGAGACGTGGTACATAACTTGAGATGAAGCTTCCCCAATACGTGTGAAAATGGAGTGAGAGCTTTTCGTGCCCGCATGCGCGTCCGGTCCGCGTCGGCCGCGGAGACGAGCGAGGTCGCTGGAGTCAGCGATGCAATTCCGCGTGGCGGAGTCGCCAGGGCGGAGAGCAGAGGCGCCGCCGCTACGCGAGCGGCGCGGCAGGAACCTTCGCGCCTTCGCGAAGCCCCCCCCCCCACTCCCCCACGACCGCTCCAGTCACCACCGCAGCCTCGCGCCCCGCACTCCCCCCCCCCCCGGCGCACAGTGGGCCAGAGCGGATGCCGGGAATCAGATCCCTTCCTCTTCTTCTTCTTCCTGATTATTTATTCTTCTCACTTCCGTCTTCTCTTCGTCATTTTTTATCTCCTTTGCTCTTTTCCCATATTATTTCCTTTTCGTCCTCATTTTTTTCGTCCTCCTCCCACTCATTCTCGGTGACAATAATAATAATAATAATAATAATAATAATAATAATAATAATAATAATAATAATAATAATATGCTTTCGCAACTGCGCGAAGTCCCATTCCGAATGTAGAATCAATTCCAAATGTGGAATGTACTTAAAAATTGTGACAGCCTTTCCCAGTGCTGTAACATTGGGCAGACAGTAGTTGGAATATGGTCTGTGAACGCTACTTCTGCAGGTGATGTAAAGGAAGCTACGTACAGCACATAAAGTGTAGGCCGTAGTACGCTACCTTGAGATACCCCTGATTTTATAGGGAATAAGGCTGAGCACTCCTGGTTGAATTATATCTGTAATAAATAGGACTTCAGCAGGGTATGGTACGGAGACATTTTTTTGTACAGAGAAGGCGAGGGTATTATATTTTGTCGAATGCTTGCGTTATGTCATTGAAAACTGCATTGCAATATTTTTTGTTTTCTATTGCTTCAATGAAGAGGTCTAATCCTTTATCTTGTTCTGTGGATGAAAAATATCTCCTGAAAGCAAACTTGTGTGACGAGATAAGTTCTTGGTCTAGCACAATAAAATTGAATAGTGTTTCCTGGCGTGTCAACTGCTATAGTGATTATTTCAGTAAGTGTAGTGCGTGTTTTTATCACGGGAGGCGGCGGTATTCTTCTTCCACTGGCTAGAGGGTTCCAGCACCGACCTACACGACGATTTCTGCTATTTTCTTCATCGGGCATCCCCCACCTGCGGGACACCGCCCCAGCTAGGACAAGCTTGAAGCTCCTTGTAATCTATGAAGTGTGAGCGTGTGTAAGTAAGGAGTGAAGTTAGGACAACGGAGATTAAGGAAAGATTGCAAGCGTTCTGTGGTAACGTTTCTGAGGTACTGCTCCGTCAGTCTAAGCTTATAAGACTTCGTTTCATGGAATGGTTACTATAACAGGCGCAGAAAACGTTCATTGAGAAGTGCGCGAGACTCATAACTTATTTTCAGTATCTGCTAGTCCTGACTCTCTCCCCTTCTTTTTAATATCTATCATTACGATATTCCCTCTTTGCTGATGATACAGCTCTTTTCATCAGTCAAAAAAATATCAAATGCGAGAGATAGATTGCAATCTGACTTTCTACTATATACATCTTGCGCTACTAATTGGCAAATCAAAATCAATATGAAAAATTTTCAAGTCAAATTGTCAGTTTACACTTTGCAAACTGACATTCCATCTAAATTATTATTATAGAATCAACCCATACCTTGGATTTTATATAAC